CATGGCTTGATAATACTTATAGAAAAATTTGTTATTTAAAAATTTCAATTTTTTATCTCAAGTCTAAGTATGTGATTATGGATAATTTTTGTGCTAGTGTCAATATTTTTTTTTATAGTTAAATATTTTAACTATAATATTAATAATATAAACATAATATTTGAAAATTTATAAAATTACATTTCTATTGCATATTATTTATTTATATTTAGAGTGTTTAGTAAATAAGGTAACAGTTTCTATTATTCTCATTGATTATAATTATAATAATTAACCTGTTTCATTACTTATTGAACACTCTGTATATTTATAATGTGACAACCCTATTTTACAGTGGTACAAATTCAAACACAATAAAATTAGATAACTTAAATTAAACAAACAAATTTGGTGTCAGTATAAACAAAACGAATAATAGGTAAATTTATATTATTCAATAGTTAATTCATAAAAAATTTCGAATTTGAAAACAGGTTTTAACGAATTTTTTTTATTTTAAATACAATAAGTTATTAAAAATAAATAAATACATAATGAATTTAAAAGTTCTTTTAAAAACTTGCAGATAAAATATATAAATTAAAAATATCTTAATTAATAAAAAATGATTGACAATAGCATTAAAAAAAATTGTTCATGAATTGTTTATGTACAATAAAGACGAGCACATCAATTTATTTGAGATAAATATTGAAATTTATAAGAAACATTTTTTAAATAAGTACTATCAATAAGTATACTTAAAATTAAAAGCAATAAAAATACAATTCTAAAACATCCTAACACTATATTATTATTATTACTTTGATAAGTAATGACTTGATACCTGTTGTAATGGGACCATACAAAAAAGATTACGAGTTGTTGGCACCAAAAAATTCCTTCATACACGTTGATGATTTTGATTCTCCGCAAAGTTTGGCCAATTATTTACATAAATTAGACCGAAATGATGATTTATACAATGAATACTTCAAATGGAAAGGCACTGGTGAACTTGTTTTGTACATTAATAATGCAATGTTTTATTGTCGACTTTGTGCAATGTTACATGATGATAATCATGCACCGAAACATTATGCTGATTTCAACGATTGGTGGAGGGGAGAGGGTAAATGTAACCAGAAAATTACTTGAGAAAATTAAGACATACACAAATTAAAATAAATTTAGTTACTTGGATCTTGAAAAAGATGATTATCACCATAAAAATAGTTATTGCAATAACGATTACTGCAAATTAATTTTACGAATCAAGTTAATGGTATTTTATAATTTCTAACAAAATTCTATATTTTTAATTATAATTAAACTTTTTTTAATTTTCAAAGATGTGGTTTATAATTTATATGTGTACTGGATAGTATTCTGGATAACTTGTATGTATTAATAAAAATTTGCTCATTAATAAATGTTTATTTTATTTTACTAGTTAGCTGTTTAATTTAATTTGTATACTTTATTTATTTATTAACATGATACTGAATATGACCAAGTACAAAAATATCAGAACTACTAACAACTATATTTAAAAATTAAATAAACTTGTTATCTGCAAAAACAATTTGTGATAACGCATACATATTTAAAAATATATATACTACAAAAGAAAAACCGTCAAACGTTTGGAGTTAAATATCATTAAAGTTTTACTGTAATTTTTGAATTTTAATAGTTAGTAGTCTATTATTAAAAAATAATTATAAAGTTAAATCCAAAAATATAATAATTTATTACTGAGGATAATGATTTAAAAGAAAATTAAATCAAAATCAACACCACAAAAAACATTTCACAAAATATTGCGAAATTGTGTATTTCATATTTCGATTTTTTTTTAGTAGCTAATAACAAAATAAAATTTTAAACATAGATGTAATGTAGTTACAAAAATATGTATCTATAATCTTATTTTAAAATTACACTTAAAACTTGTACTAATTGTAAGGATTCTTATGTAAACAATATTTTTTATATTATTTTGCTTGTACTAAAATAATATATTACTTTGAACTTAAAGATTTTGTACAGAAGTCAAAGTTTCTATTTTTTTATCTTTGAAGTGATAATGAATAGATAAGTTATTCATTGTATTATTCTAATTGATTTGTTATGTATGACGGTAATGTTTTACAAGAAAAAAATTCAGTACGGTTCTGTAGAATAAGATAAAATATTATATAAAACTATAACTTAATAAAAAATATTTTTGAGGCTTTAATTTTGAAATGAATTAAATAATAATTTTTAGTGATTATCATAAAACAAAATGAGCGTGTATAAAATTAAAAATATCATTCTTATAATAGCCATTTATCTATTTTCTATGTCACTTGCTTTATTATTTCCTACAGAGAGTGAGAGTCGCGAAATTCGTACGCTGCATGGTTTTTGGAACTTCAAGATTTCTCCTTTAGATGACCAATTAAAGGGTTTCACCGAGTTATGGTATACAAAACGATTTGATGAGGTAACGTAATATGAATGTGTTTTTCTATATTGAGATGTAATATCAATAATATACCATGTTATCCATTTATTTTAGTTTAACATTATATAGCTTGCATTTTAAGAAATAACAGAGGGTAAATTTGAACTTTTATTGAAATACCGTTCAATAAAAAAATGTAGAATCATAAATTTTATTTGATAATCATTCAATTGAAATGAAAATTTTGCTTGGTGAGTAACTTTATATGAATAATATCCAAACTTCCTTAAACTACCAAGTAAAAATCTGTAAAAATCTAACTTATGGCGTACTTCACTCACTTATATTTTAAAAGTTCTGGTTTGGTGCCTAGAATGTACTTTTTTATTTTAAAATATTTAGCTTTTTTGGCTGTGTTATTGAGATAAATAATTTTCAAAATTTTTTTTTAAATTCTGTTGAACATCCTATATTAGGGAGTATTAAAGGCCATTATTATTTTTAGTCTTTTCCTCGAGTACTATCGCAGTTTCATATTTTTTAAAACATTAGACATATAGTAAAATTTAATGTATTTTTTCAAATAATATTTTAATAAATTATTTCTATTGTGGTTATAAAAATTTAGTTATATATTTATGCACACTAATAAAAAAAAAACATTCAATTAATATTCAAATTTTAATATACTCACAATTATTACCTGAAATTGTTAAATAATTTAATTTGGTCTGTTTATTTGAGTTTGATATAATAATATTTAATAGTAATCTATTTATCGATTTCAGATTTTGTAATATTAATACATATATAGTTTCAACACCTTTGAATATTCCAGTAATTTAAGTTTGTTGTGTCATTAAAACATATTGAATAAATCAGAATATAATAATTAGTCAATTTGTATATTTAAAAAAGTAACAGATAAATGAACATTTTCTAACAAACTATTAAATACAATTAAAAAAAACCGCGTTTATTTTATTAAAACCTAAATTCTCATAATTTTCTTTGTTAATTTTCTTCATAAACTCACTGAAAATTTCATTTATAACTTGATAAATATTAATGCAATCCGATGTGCAATCAGTATCAATTTTAATTAATTTTTCAATGCTTATCATAAAACCAAATAAATCAGAATATCCTTCAAATTCACAATACGGTTTAGAATAACGATTTGTAAGATCTATTTTAATTGATAATTCTTTTTGTATAAATATTTTTATGTCATTGAGAAATTCTGTTGCTTCATAATATTCTTGGCTGGTGAATTCACTTGACGATTGATATTTTCTTCTCATGTCAAAAATAAAATTTCTAAAAAATTCTATCTGTAATTCTATACATGATATGACATCACGTTTATGTTTACGAGTTACCATATATCTTAGTGTTTTCAAAGCAAACAGCATATTTTTAAACATTTCATCAGATTTTATTATAATATTAAAAATTGTTATTGCACAGCTATTTTTATTATTAAATTGACAAAATTTGATTATTCTATCCAACATATCATTAAAGTAATTAAATATTTCAAAATAGCGACACTTTAAAATTTGTTTAATACAAGCCCGTATGAAATTATAATTTTCTAAATTTACTGGAACAATTAATTCGTCAAAATGTTTTCTTTCAAAATTAGTCAATTTATTTTTAATAGATATATGTTTCCAAAATGTCCAGTCGTCATGAGATATTAAAGCTTTCATTAATTTTATACCATTATTAGTGTTATAAACGTTACTTATACAATGTATAAACCTGAAAGAAAATAAATTAATGTAATGCTCAATTGAAAATTGATTTATTTTATTTTAATACATTTGAAACATTCTGAAATTTTATTATTTGAGCATTATACAAGTATAGTAAAATTTATAGAAGAATAAAAAGGGTTTTTACAAATAGTTCTTTTTATTTATAATCACATAAATATTCTCATAACCGACTCAATTACTCGTACATTAAAAACGATTTCAAGCATTTTTTGGTTACATATTGTTCTCAAATTATTTTCTATGTAATACTTTTTAAGTTTCTGTTTTAGTTCCGATTTTAAGTTTTTCTTTTTTATGAATGTAAACTTTGTTTTAGTTCCGATGCAAAGCTAGGAAGGTATTAATTTTACTATGATGTGTAGGGTGTCCCTTATTTTTTAAATTTTGGAAATTCTTCAAGAAATTTGTGAACCATATGTGTTATGATCTAACATTTCATAAAAATTAAAAGTAATAAGTATAAATTTCATTGAATCGATCGTTTTANATTTGTTTAAAATTATATTTTACAAATTAAAAGTAATAAGTATAAATTTCATTGAATCGATCGTTTTATTGCTATAGCTGAGATAGTTTGATCATATTACGATTTTTACTAAATATATGAGTTTTATTGCTAGATTTTGTTAGTTATCATCTGGTATATGATAAATATGGTATACTCTACGCAAAGTACACCTTATTTATCAAATGATATAATTATATGTATTTGATTTAAATTGTTTATTCAATTACACATTGATGTATTTTATTGGTTTAAATGTATAAGTATACTTATTTCTCAATATTATTGTATACGTTTAAAAAAATTGCTACATAAAATATAAAATGGTAAATTCAAAATAATTCCCAAATAATAACAAAAATATATATGAGAAATAGATTTTAATGTTTCTTTTTTGCAATTCAACAAGTTTATAGTGTATGGCTCTAGAATAATGTATTTTTATTTTTTATCTGAGTCACCATTAAAAAAAATTAGCAATTACTAATAATCAGTGCTTGATTTCGAGTGAGGGTGGAGCTATCCTTCTTTTTATTATTTTTTTTAACGTTGAAATAGAACACAATCATTTATTTACTATTAAACAGGTGAAACTATTAAATAAGTAAATCGTCAGTTCTTCTGAAGCAAAATAGTAATATGTAAATGTCATAATATTAGTAGAACCATTTTTTTTTTTTTTTTTAACAAAATTTTAATTATTACGCTATCTGTTACAATATTGAACAATAAGCTTAAGTGATAACATAAAAAGAAAAAAAACAGACAGAAGAGACTGAGTGAAGAGACCTCCCATTGGAGGTACTTCAACATGAATATTAATTTAAATTTAAGGTATTAGTCCTAACATAATATTAATAATAGTGATAATAAGTTGGATTGATATATATACATTTTTTTTTTTTTTTAAATTATAAAAGTAGGTCACGACACCACTGTCTTTTTAATCTTTTGTGGGGATTTCCTGGAATAGTTGTAGATGATAGTTGGACAATAAGGGGATTGGAATGATGTGTTAACTTGTTATTGAATCGTTTGTAGTGGAGTTTGGCTAGTTTAGTGACGGTGGGTAAATTGAAGTCGGAATGAAGGGTATCATTTGAAATATAGAAGGGAGCTTTGGAGACGACGCGAAGGACTTTGGATTGGAACCTTTGTATACGGTGAGAGGTGACGACTTGGGCCACGCAACGGATTGTGGAGTCGCCACCCTCATGGCTCCCTTGCAAAAAGGAAATCGGGTCGCCAACCACTTAGGCGAGGGTCTTTATCAGAAAAGAACAACACCCGGACCATAAGTGGATTTAATAAAAAAAATTGAAAAAAGAAAAAAAATAATAAGAAAACCAATAATATGCATTTCGATGAGATAAAGTGAATTAAAAAAAATTATAGATATATATAAACATATACTAAAAATATAAAGTGTTGTTGTAGACTATAATACGCTGATACCTTGTAAATATATAACCAATATGTTTGTTTGATGTCACCAGTGGTGGACATACTTTAGTATGTCGAAGACCGTTACCTTAAAACTAGAGAAATATGATTTAAAGGAAAAAAAATAAGATACACGTGAATATTGAAGATATTCACGCAATAAAAAGATTTTTGTTGATTAAGAAAATTAAGGGGACTTTATTAAATTATTACAATTAAGTTAATAGTGGACAAAACCCGAAGGCAAAAACCACTCTGCAAATAAAGGGACAAAAGAGAAAAAAAAAA